GGGGGTGGTCCCAGGGTTTTCATGCAGGGAGGGGGCGTACGCTGGAGTGGTCAGCCTGGGAGGGGGCTGGAGGCCGAGGCGGAGCTGTGGCCTGGGGGCCGGGGTGGGGAGTGGGGTAGGTTCAGGACCAGCGTGAGGAACCAGGCAAGACGGCCGAGGCCGGGACGCCCTGCACACCAGCTGCCTGCTCCTCTGGCCAGCGAGTGTTCTGCTGCGATTCTGGTCTTCTCAGCGAGATCACAAGCCCACGGAATAAGAAATGACAAGAGCCAGCAGCTGCCAGCCCTGGGGCTCCTCGTTCGTTATCAGTGATCCTGAGAATTCCCGAGCGTGGGGTGTCTCTAAACAGCAGCCTGGCCTCTCCAGAAAGCCATTAGCATCCGCGCACTGAGAACTACTGGTGCCCGGCACCGTCATTTATCAGTCCTCTCTGCTTCTGTGAATATTTGCAATTTTTCCTTAGAAGTCAAAAAAAAAGTCACGAGAAAAAACGTGGGACGACTTTGCACCAAGTGTAAAGCATGAACCCTGACTAAACCTCAATCTTAAAGAAAGCACCTATGAAACATCTGAGGGACCCCAGACACCAGGGAGCACAAAAATTAGGATTTTTAGGCAATGACGGTTACTGTGGCTACATAATATCCTTGTTTAGGGGATGCACACTGAAGTATTTAGAGATTATGTGTCAAAATGTCTGTGACTTACTTTCAAATGATCCAGCGACAACAAAATATATATTTTCAAATAGAAATAGATCCACTAGGGCAAGATGTTAATAATGGGTAGATCTAGGTGGTGGCATCTGGATAATTAACTCTCTGGGACCACGCTGTCAGCTTGTCCCTATGTGTAAATGTTTTCATGATCAAAGGTGCGATGCATCTGCTATACTCTCAGAGTCCTGTCAGGAAGGTGGCATGTGGAAGGCGAGGTAGCTGGTACAGGACAGGCAGACCTGGCACTGTCTGGAGACACTCCTAGTTGTCACAACTCTGGGGAGGGGTGCTCCTGGCATCGAGGGGGTAGAGGCCAGGGACACCACTCAACACCAGACACTGGAAGGCCCCGCCCCAGAGACTCAAGGAGAACCTGGAGCCAGACTTCTGGGGCTGGAGCTGGAAGCTGGGCTCCAGCACTTACCAGTCACGCGGCGTGGGTAAGTGCCTTCCCTCTGTGCCTCAGTTTCCCTGTCTGTAAGGTGGGGACTGCTGTACGGCCGAAGTGAGGGTGAGTGAGCTGACATGTGCAAAGCCCTCGAGCAACGTCCAGCCCAGCGTGCAGGGCAGGCGGAGGCACACGCTGTACCTGCCGCTAGGCCCTCCTCACTGCACTAAGCTGCCCGCTGGTCCCCAATGCCCTAACCCTCCTCCCAACAACCCTGCCCCCCTTGCTCTGCAGACCACCCCACCTAACAAGAAGGACATATTTGCTGGGTTGAACTAAACGATTTATATTGTATTTATTTATTTGGTTGAACCAGGTCTTAGTTGTGGCAGGTGGGTTCCTTAGTTGCAGCTCCAGGGCTCCTTAGTTGTGGCATGCATGTGGGATCTAGTCCCCTGACCAGGGATCGAACCCAGGCCCCCTGCATTCGGAGCGCGGAGTCTTATTCACTGCGCCACCAGGGAAGTCCAACTACTTATATTGAAAGATCGTCAGCTGCCCCCTGCTTTTTCAGAAGGAAAAAAGGGTTTGTTTAGCCCAGAAGAGAGACTACAGATCCTCCTCGACTTACGATGGGGATAGGGTTAGGGTTAGGGTTAGACCCACTGTAAGCTGAGAACATCATAAGTCGAAAATGCATTTAATACACTGAACCTAACGAATGTCACAGCTGAGACTGGCCTTCCTGAAACGTGCTCACAACACTCACATTAGCCTACAAGTGGGCGAAACCATCTAGCACAAAGCCTGTTTTATACTAAAATGTGGACTATCTCATGTAATTGATTGAAAGTGAATACAAAACGGCTGTCAGGGCACCGCTGTGCACCCTCGTGACCTCGGGGCTGCTGGGGAGCTGTGGCTGCCGCTGCCCAGCATCAGGAGAGAGTATCCACCCTGCATCGCTGGTCCAGGAAAAGATCAAAATTCAAAATTCGAGGCATGGTTTCTACTGAATGTATCACTTTTGCAGCATCATAAAGTTGAAAAATCATTAAGTCAAACCATCATGAGTCAGGGACCAACTTATGAAAAGCTTGGAGTAGATTATATACAGATACGAAGAAATGCTCAGCTACTAGAGTGGACGGGCAGCAGAGTGGGCCTCGCTGCAAAGTCCCATGGGGACTGCACCCTGAGACAGAGAAGGAAAATGGCCAAAGCTGATTGATAATGATTACATTCAGAAGGAAAGAAAGGACAGATCCACGAGTTATTCTAGCCAACGTGCCAATGACCTGGAGGGGCAGAGTCAAGAGGCTGCGGGCGCCAACGCTGAGGTGAGGGCTGGCAGGGGCTGTCACACCCAGAGCCCGGGCACAGCTGCTCCAAGACCACGGCTGAACCCAGCATCACACCTCCTCCCCCAGAGGCCCCGCACGCATGGTCTGCGTATGTCTGACTTAGAAACAGCAGAAGGCTGCGGGTGAGGAGGGCGCCCCTGAGAGAGGGCTCATCCTCCAAGCCCTGCCACCTGGGGAAAGACCGGAGTCCATCAGGGCTCATCCTCCAAGCCCGGCCACCTGCGGAAAGACCGGAGTCCATCAGGGCTCATCCTCCAAGCCCTGCCACCTGGGGAAAGACCGGAGTCCATCAGGGCTCATCCTCCAAGCCCTGCCACCTGGGGAAAGACCGGAGTCCATCAGGGCTCATCCTCCAAGCCCTGCCACCTGGGGAAAGACCGGAGTCCATCAGGGCTCATCCTCCAAGCCCTGCCACCTGGGGAAAGACCGGAGTCCATCAGGGAGACTCTGAGGGGCACACGATGAGGACACCCCAGAGGAGAAGTGTGTGCAGCCCCAGCCAGTTTTCTGGTGACCCCAGTGGAATGGCACAGAACAGCGTACAGACGGCACAGAACTCAGCACCCTCGTGCTGACGGGGTGCCGTGGAGTGGGGCAGAGCCCACGAGGGCCGAGCGCTGCGCTGCAGCAACACAGGCCCAGCCCGCCCGCCTCACCAACCTTTACCCTCTGCCTGGGGGCGACTCCCCGCTGACACCTTGCCAGGCTGGAAAGGTGAAACATGGTAGAAATAAAGTACCTTGCTCAGGGTCTGACACCTAACAGGTGTTCAACAAAAGGTGGGCATTTCTGACGGTGGGACTTTCACACGTATTTCCTCACGTGGTCCACAGCAGAAACGCCTGGCGAATCTGGGGGTGGAGCCCAAGTCAAACCGCTGCCCCAGTCGTCACCCTTTCCTTCCCCAGGTGGCAGGTCCTGACAGCCACAGGGCGGAGCGCACTGTCCCCCTGAGCCATTAGTAGGAAGGGTCTGGTGAGGAAAAGTCAAGTCACCTAACTGACAAATAAGCTGGCACATCATGATCATATTAAAACCTACAGTTCTTTTACAGGAGGATGCTGAACCTGAATCATCTAAGGCACGAGGCCCCAGCTGCGCCCGCAGCCTCCGAACCACTATCCACCACCAGCAGGGGCTCTGGTAGGGAAGCTGAGGACCAGAGTCCACAGCCTCCGAACACACGGCCGATGCAGAGGGGGCACGGCCAGAAAAGTAACCGCCCCTGACCACAGTCCCCGTAACAGTTTTCTGTTGTTTTCTGAGGAGCCACCACTGCAGCAGGAGCTCTGGCTGCAGCTCATCATTCCCAGCACTGACTCCTCACTCACTCTCCTGGGATAAACATCCCTCTGGCAGACCTTGGAGAGCCGCGCAGAGCCTGGCCAGGCCTGCTCCCCAGGCTGCCCTTCTGCCTAGAAGGCCCTTCCCCCACCCTGATTCACCACGGTTACCATCCCCCCCCATCCCTCTCCCACTGTCCTTATCACACAGGACTGTGCCTGGTAGTTCGCAGTCTTTCTCTCCACCAGCCTGAGAAGGGCCCACCAGTCACTCATCTCTGTACTTCGACTAGCCCTGTGCTTTCTAAGATAAAGCAGGAACTCCATGAATGCTCGCTGAATTAAGATAAACGGTGAATGAGCCAGAACCCCACATGGCCCAAGCAAGGATGTCACTGAGCAACAGGGTGAAGGCCACGGTCAGGCGAGAGACAGCCCCAGCCCCGACCGCAGCCTGGCCCTGGGCCGGCCTCCAAGGATGAGGCCTCCTGCTGACGACGCCAGAGGGCCCACAGGGCCCCCAGTGTGCCTGGCTCATTCCAGCTGGGATGCCCAGCGACTCCCCGAATGTCCCCATCACAGAGGAGACATCCCTGAAGCCCAACGAGGTCATGGAGCTATAAATGTGGGGCAGAGCCTGCAGCCAGACCTTCCAAGAACCAGTCCGGCACAATTTCCACCACATCACATGTAACCCAAACCACACCCAGAGCTCAGGCACCAGAGCGTGGCAGGAAACATGTATAGAGAGGGCTGTGGGTCCCCAGGACACACTCCCGCACACGTGTCTTCTCACCAGGGTGACCACGCACGCGACTTTCCTGGGGCGGTCCTGGCTTATATGGGTTGTCCCAGCACCCCTCACTCCAAAAGCCTCCCAGCTGGGACAAGATGAGATGGGCCTCCTCTATCCCAGCCTCTAGCGCTTTCTTAAGAGTGCCTGCACAGTCTGTCAGCAGAAACAGAGTGCTCATCTGGAACTCAGCTAGCTATCTACAAAGTAGCGAAAAGAGCTTGAGTAGTAACAGATAGATATTACAACCCTCACAAACTTTGTGTGTACTTTAACACAGCACTCATGTTTTAGGCACAAGCTGAGTTGTCTGTTTTTCTAACACACTATTGATTAGACACAGCAGATTAGAAGGAAGGTGAAAGGTCAGTGCAGGATAAACCAGCCCCCAGCAGTAAGAAGCACCTGCTGAGTCTCATGAGGCCTGAAACAGAGAAACTACAAAGAGGTGACAAGAACCTGGGCAGTTTAATGGTGAGATCAACAGCCCTACGCCCATACCAGGAGAGGAGACCAAAGCACAGAAACGTTCTCATGGTTAGGAAAAGAGAGACTGGGAATCTGGGCCCATAAGAGGTGGTGGAGATGACCATGAATGCCCTGTCCTTTTCTTTTCCAAGTGTCTGTGACGCTCTCAACACCAGTCAGGACTTAGAAGGCTACTGGGCCCCGCTCTACTTACTGGTCATGGGCATCTCCTCATCAGGGGCTAAAGCTGCCTGGAGGATTGTGTGAACTGACTGTGTGAAGCAGCTTTATAAACTCTAAAAAGATAAATAAACTATAAAAGACCAACTCAGTGTCCGCCTGACCCTCAGACTTACTCTCAGACTGCTTCACCATCTCAGCCCATAAAACACCCCTACGTAACGGAGCTGCCACTGCAAAAGCCACACAAGGTAATGGGCGTTTATCTGTATTAACACCTAAACCCACAAGGCTAGGCTTATTAGAAAAAGACAAGGTCTACAGAAAATTCCAATTTGAAAACGCTGATGAGCCCCCCTCAGCCTCTTCAGCTCTAAACCAACCACAGGAAAAAAGGGCTAGATTCCTGAGGAGGGAGTGGCTAAGACCTGGGTCAATGACTATGACACCCGGTTTGAAAGGTGCTAATCCAAACTGCAGAGACGCGATAAAACGGGGAGGCCCGACCAGGAAAAAAACTGGAAAGTCAGCTGCCACATTCAGGATCAAAAGAAGCGTGAGTTAGGAGGGCAGCCCAGGGCCAGGCAGAAGCCTAGGAAGGCCTGAGAGGGGCTTTCGGAGACAGGGTGGGAGGAGGGGTGGCTCTGCGCCCCTCCCAGCCCCCAAAGTCCTCTGTCTCCCCAGAAGCAGGGGGGCAGCTGTCAGCCCAGGATGACCCAGGGCGGGGGGGGGGGGGGGGGAGGGTTGGTGACCAGGCGAAAAGGGTGCCCAAGGGAGCAGGTAAAAAGAAAGCCGGGGGAACCGGTCTGGGATTCTGGCAGAGTCTGCAGCAGCGACGGGTCTAAGGGAGACACTGGGCGAGAGGAGGGGTCAGGCGCTGGGCAGTGCCTCGGGACAGTGTCTCCCTGGGGAGGGGAGCCCGTGAGGGGACTAGAGGATCATCCCTCGCGGGGTTGGAGAGGCTTGGGAGAGGCCGCCTCTGAGACAAGGCTCCACCACGGAGAACGTGCTTCTGAGGAGAAGGGGGGCTGTGGGGTGCGTCGGGAAGGCAGCCTCTCCAGTGGGCCCCTAAGCGGCTCCCGGCATCTCCCCACAGGGCCTGGGGGCTGAAGTGGGGGCCCGAAGGACAGGGCGCCTGAGGGCTGTGACGGGCTCCTCCTAGAGCCCTGAGGGTCCCTGTCGGGCGAGAGGATCTCTGGGGGCAGGGTCTCGGGGCCCTGCGGGTCCCGGCCGGGCCGCGGGAGGGGCGCGGGGGCGCGGGGGGCTCACAGGTCTCCACATCTTCGGGGCCGCGGCTCCGCTCCCGCCGGCCGCACGCTCGCGTCGCCGGCCCAGCAGTCCCTGCGGGCGGGGCGCAGTGCGCACGCGCGCACCGCCCCAGTGGGCGGGAACTGGAGGCCGTGCCTCGAGCGGACCCGCGGCCGCGGCCGCAGCCGAGCAGCACCCCCTGGCGGCCGCCGGCGACCTAGCTTTAGGGCAAGGACCGGCCCTCGTGAAGGCTGAGGACCGCGGCGAGTCCCTCCGGCAGGCACGCCATCGGTTCCTGCCGCTGGTGTCTTTTCCCATCCCCGATAGAAGTGAGGCTCGGGGAGGTAAGCTCACCTGTTGCCCAGAAGCTCACAGAACGGGCGGAAGCTGAGAGAGAGAAGGGACCCCACTAGGAGGTCAGCGCCGAGGGCTGGAGCTGGACCTGGGGAGGGGCAGGGGCGGCCAGTCCGGCCCAGCACTTCCGTGCCACGGATTAGGGTGAATCTCTCTAACTACTCAAGCCTCATTTTCCTCGCTGCAAAATGAGGTCATAACCCACAAGCTAATAGAGCTCTCTATCCATGCAACGCCTGCTGTTCACCTGGATCTACGCCACTGATGCGAGCACCTGCTGTGTGCGGGTGGGCGGCCGGGGAGGTGGACACTCAGTAACCACGCCGTGAACAGTGCGCACAGGGGAGGCAAGGACCGCGGAGAAAGCTTCTGCCTCCCTCACTGGCCTGCCAGCCTCTCCCGCCCCTCCTCTCCTGCCGCCCCCTGGGAGGGCGGGACCCGTCCTCTCTGCTCAATGGACCTCCCAGCTGATGCCAAATCTTCTCTCCCCTCCCCTCGCCTGCGTCCCTGTCACCCTGATAGGTAGCACCCACTCGCTCAGGTTCTGTCCTCTGGCCGTCGCGGCCCCCTTTCCGAGGTTCCACCAGCCGCCGGTTCCACTCCGCATAACTTCTTCAAGGGCAGAGCCACCAGCCAGCCACGGGCTAACCTCGGTGAAGCTCACGCCCTCAGGGTCGGGGACAGGGGTTTGTCCCGAGTGCTCCTGTGGCCTGGCCATTCTGCAGTGGATGCCCTGGGCCTCGCGTCCCCTACCCCACACGTACTAGGACCCCACCTTCACACTGATGCCTCAGGAAGTTTTCTCCTTGAAGTCTGGTCCCACCTGGCGGTTCTCCTGTCAGCCCCTCCCCTCCCACGTGGCCCCGCCCCTCCCACGTGGCCCCGCCCCCTCTCACATGGCTTCTCCTCCCAATGGTGCCTGCTCCTTTGGGCATCCCTGGGCCCAGGCAGGCCTGTGCCTCCTTCCTTCCCTTCTGCTACGATGTACCTCAATGTCCTGAATCACCTCGTTCCCATTGTCCCCAGTGTAACAAATGCTGGGCTCCGTACCCTGGCTGAATACAGATGGCTGTCCTCACTGATTTTTTGCCTGCCTCGCCAGGAGGACAGGAATGTGGCCTCTCGTCTCCACTGCTGTGTCCTAGTGTCCAGGCCAGGGCCTGACAGAGTGGATCTGGAGCCCCTCCCAGGGCCAGGCTTTCCGGAAAGTTTCCAGTTGTACACATTGGACCTCCCCACCTAACCCCGTAACATTTAATGAACCAGTTCCAGGAGATAGGGTAGGTGTAGCTGACACAGGAATGC